TTTTTAAGCTTTTTTTTTTAAATTCAAAATTTTTTTAAGTTCAAAAACAAAAAATGTATGAACATATATTTTTTTGTAAACATTTTTGTCTTTTAATTATATTAAAACATATTTTCGGTTTTGGTGCGTGTTTTACATGCGTTTTAGGCATTACATTTTCTAAGTGTCTTCTTTTATTCACATGTATGTTTATATAAGCTCGTACTTAGCATATTTATAAYTTTAAGTTTGCTTATTTTGCTCAAACATGTTGTAAAGAAATATTAATTTTTTTGAGTTACAAATATATTTTTTATTTACAAAAGAACATATTTTTCAAAATAAAAAGACAAATATCTATCATGAGCGTTGTTTTGTTTATTTAGAAATAAGTATGCTGGACCATAAAATGCTGACCATTTTCAAGTGCTGGCAAGTTTATTTTTAAATTATAATAAATTTAAAAAATATGTTTTTTTTTTAATTATAAAWATTGTATATTCACAGAAGAAGGGAATTTTGTAACGTTTATAAAAAATAAGTTCGAAAAATATCTGTAAAGGCCAGTTCTAGCATAATAGCAGAACAAAAAGTAAAAATCGAAGCATACACAAAGGGGCAAATGGGTATGCAGTGTTTATAACAAAGCRAATAACTCAGTTTAGGTATAATTATACATTAGATGCATAATAACTGCGGGTTTAATACAAAATAATTTAATACTAGTAAACYTTCTGGTCTTTTGAGGGAACATAAATTGCACTTTAATCGATGTATTAAAAACCCAAGGCTGATCCGGGTTTTCAAACCATTGATTAAAGTACAAATTATAGTTTAAGACCATTATACCCTTTGTAAAATAGTAATGGAAAACAAGAAAATATTTGCTGGTTCTGTAATACTGAAGTGTTCAGACCACTAAAASATATGCACAGCTGCCACACAAAGCAATCGATCAGAATCAAGTCCCTGTAAAGAAAATTTTTTTATTTAATGAGATCTCTGCACAAAATTTGGTATATATTATTATCCAAGGCAAAGCTACTTTCTCCGAAGAAATTGTTCAGATCGGATCACCATAGCATATAGCTGCCATAAAAACTCATCGTTCAAACTTTAGACCTTGTATGGAAAATTTTTTTATTCCACGAGATATCTTTACGAAATTCGGCAAGGATTTTTGTCTAAGACAATGTTACGATCTCCGAGCAAATTATTTATATCGGATCACTATAGCATATAGCTATCGTACAAACTGATAAATCAATAACAAGTTCTTGTATGGAAAACTTTTTCATGTGACAAGATATCTGCACGAAAATCATTATAGATTATTGTTCAGGGYAACGCTATAATCTCTGAAAAAATTGTGCAGATCGCATCACTATAGCATATAGCTGCCATATAAACTGAACTATAGTAATCAATTATTTATATGGAGAGCTTTTTGATTCGATAAGATATCTTCACGAGATTTGATATGAGTTATTTTCCAAGGCAATGGTGCAATCTGCGGAGAAATTGTGCAGATCGGATCAATATAGCATATAGCTGTCGTACAAACTAACCGATTAAAATCAAGGTAAAAGTCTTTTTATACCCTTTTAAGCTGTAAGAAGTGCGCCTGTGTAGGGTATTTATACCCTTTACGACTTATCTGTTTTACCTTAGTTCTTTCTTGGGTGATCTAGACTATAAAATAGTATAACATAACCTAAAAAGTCATAAGAAATTACTATATTTTACCAAGATACTTAATTTCTGATGTATAAGATATATTATCTTAGCACTTTATGTCATAAAATAAGCTTTTACGCACGAAAAATTATCTTAAGACATGGATAGAACTTCTTAGCTTCCGTTTGAAGAT